GCCCAGGGAGGGCTCCTGATCCCCCGTTGAGCCCAGGGAGGGCTCTGGATCCCCTGTTGAGCCCAGGGAGGAACCCAGGGAAGAACCCAGGAAGTCCCCTGTTATGGTTTACGGAGGGCCTCGGAGCCCGTAAGCATCCCCAAGTATTTTTATGGGGGGTGTAGTAGGGCTCCAGCCGTAGAGGCCGGGGCGGGGGCTGGGGCTGGGGCCGCGGCCTCGGAGGCTGCTTTGCCATGGCCTCCTGAACTACCTGCTGCATGGCCTCCGAGTCTGCCTGCTCTGCCATGGCGCCCCAAACTGCCAGATCCGCCATGGGTCCCGGAACGGGCGCCGCCCTTTCATCCCCTCGTCTTGTCATGTGTTTAAATAGTGTTCCCTGTTTTTAGTTCTGCGTCCGGTATTGTTCATGTCTACATGTGCTATGTGAGTTTTCCATGTTTCCTTGTTATCATTAAATCTCTCTGGATTGATGTACTCCTCGTCTCCCGCCGTTCCTTGCTCCTCACTCCACTCAGTAGTGCAACCGTGACACTAGTGCAGTGGAGCGATGACTTCTTAATTTTATTTATTTAAACATCCTGTTTTGTTGGGTATGTTTACATGTACTAATTCTCGCCAACTGGAATGAACCCAATCTGATTTCAGATTTGGAATTCTGTTTATATGAACCCTAATTCTGATTCACATGTTCATTTACATGTGCATATCTAAAAGAAAAGCTGACATTTGTGTCAGAAGAGCTTTTTAGCAAATATTCACGTGTAAACCGGCATCACGGTACTGCGCATGTGTGCAAATAATTTTTGAATATGATTAAGAAAATAGTCGGATTCAAGCTTTTAAAAAAAATAATTTAGACTGAGCTCAGATGGATTAGATAGATTGAGGTGTTTACTTGAATGCTTTTCAGTCTGATTAAGACATCAATCTGATTATAGACTGATTATTTAAGTGCATGTAAATGTAGCTATTGAGAAATATATCATATTACTGAATTAAAATGAGTTACGCACGTTTTGTTTTCGGCTGAACCCTCCCTTTACTGAGAAAATGACTTCAGGAACTGATTGAATTCTGAAAAGTGGTGTCTTTATGCCTGGTAGTTAGAGGGGAGGGGTCAAAAAAATAGTTTTTGCTAGCATCCCCCCAAAACAAAAAGGCAGGTCATTAGGATCAGGAATTTTCATGAAAGATTACCAACTCAATTTATGTCTTTAACAGTCGCTCAAAATAAAACCAGAAATGCATAAATAGTAAACAGGGTAATTTCTTGAATTTTGATTTCTTGACAACTGAAGTCACAGCCTCTGTCTAATTAGCTTGCAAAGCACCTCCAGACTTTGCTGCACTCGTGTGTGCGTTATATCACACTTCAGTGCACTGTACACATCATTAGCGTGCAAATGTCTGAGATGTGTGTCCCCGAATGTGTGTGTTTGAGTGCCACGTATTACATAATTATCATGACATGGTAGAGTCACAGACTTCCAATAACTAATAGAGCAGATGATAGGACGAGACATGGGAGCGGGCTAAAAATAGGTAATGTGTCGAAAAGCCGGGTGCTTACATAATCAAATGAGCCCGAGCTAATGAGATGGGCAAACTCACCCTCCCACCATCCATGTCCGCTTCATCTCATTTTCTCACCCTCTGGCTTTCTTTTTCTCTCCCTCTGTGTCTCCCTTTCACTTCTGTTTCCTTGGATGCAGTATAACCTCAAAGTTCCCATCTGTTTTTTTTTTCTTTTCTTTTTCTTTCCATGGTCATGAGTTAAGACCAAATCACTATTTGTGCCATGTTTCCTATTCCTCTGCCTGAAAGAGTGAGACGGCGCAACGTAGCACTGCATCCGATCTTAGATGAAGATGTCCCTCCTCCTTGTTTTGTACAGTACAGTGAAGATACTACACTTTCTTTGTGCTCCTTAAGGCAAGACACCACAGGCAAAAACACTGCATTTTTTTATGCATTGGTCAATTTTGAGATAATTACGCATTGCTTTAGGCTAGTTTAAACATTTTATTCCTAAATTATAGTGATTTTTTTTTCTTACTGTTGAATTTTCCGATTTATAAAGTGATGAAAAGAGAAACCCAAAATCAACTGTAAAAAAAAAAAAAAAAAAACTTTGAATCTAATATGTAAAACAAACCTGGCTTTATCCAATGTACAGATTTCTGTTCTGGAAATGTATACAAATTAGTGCGTATATAATTAGTTAATTTAAAAATGTGTAATACAAAAAAAATTGCAATTCTTAATGTTTATCAATCAACTGGAGAAGTATGGTAGTATCTATTATTTACATTTTCTTTTTTTACCTTATTCACCTAGGTGCTGTAAGAATACTTCATGCTGCGTATGTATAAAATATAATCAAACTGTTATGTATTATATCTCAGATGAATGAGACAGGGAACGTGGGACAGTGAAAAACAAAACAGAAAAGGATTGAGTGTCTGCAAGCAGAGAATCTGGGGCACAGAAGCCGCCATGTGTGAAGCCACAGCCCTGAAATCTGCCTGATCCAATAGATTCTGTTTATCTGGCAGGACTACACAGCTTGCGCTATTGGCAATCTGGGAGAGATTTGGAGTGGGCTGCGGATTCGCGCAAAAGTAATACTGTCTACTC